CATCTTCACATATTTTCATAGTTAGTTACCAGTCTTCTAAGCCTAGTCTTTTTCATAGTGTATGTTCCTTTATTTTTAATTGGGAGTTTATCCCAAGCCTCTTTAGCTATCTCACAGTTAGCAATATTTTTCATCTAGTTAATACTAATAACATTAAACATGGCATGAAGGGCTTTTGAGTTATAGTTAGAAGCATCTAACTCAGCCTTGGTCCATTGTTCAATCGGTTTTGCTTTGGTCACACCTTCTTCAATTTCAAGTTCTTTCCAACCAACCACACATGACATCCATACCCTCTCATCTATAGACTTCAAAAAGGCACACAACCTAAGTTTCCAAAAGGCATAGTTGGGACCCTCTAACATGGGTGGTCTATTGGTAGACCCACCTTCACTAAAGAAGTTCATGGTGAAAACACAGTAGTTTGTCATCACAGACAAACTGATTGGTCACACACAAGCACAACAAACATAGGTCGTGGAACAAACATAGTAAAAAAAGGTAATTTGATATGACGACACACAAAACCGGTGTAGTCACAAGGCCTGTAGTGAGCAAAACTACTCAAAATTGCAAAAATAACTGAGAAGAAAATAGACACAAAAACAAGATTTAAGCACAAAAAAGAAGCAAGGATCAACTGAAATAACTCTTCAGAACATGCTCTGATACCAAATGAAAGTATTATTACTTTACCAAGTTGTTAAAACTTAAGCTGAATGGGTTAACTTGTTCATTTGTGCTTTATGTGTTGGGTTAATGATCATCAACATAAACAAATGATCCATTGCAAACTATAAAGAACATAACACATTTTTACATGGTTCAGCAACTTGCCTATATCCATGGGACCAAGTCCAGAAGAAGCTAATCCACTATGATAAACTCTTTGTGTTCACATACAAAGCTAAAAATAAGTACAAGTTGCCAAACAATCCCTAGTTATGACAACACTTCAATCTTCAATCTTTGGTTGAACATCTAGCCATCACAGCAAGCTTCATACTTGAGAACACCTGGTCAGCCTTGAGGTCCTCTCAAGGTTCATCATCGAAGTCCTACTTTAGCTCCAACCTCAAGGTTCATCATCGAAGTCCCACTTTAGCTCCAACCGCTTGAACCACTCCAAGCAAGCAATAATGGAACCATGTTCACAACAAAGCTCACACAAGCAAGAGTTAAACAAGATATTTTAAGCCTACCTAAGCATAACGAAACCCGAATTAAAAAAAATGAAACCTTAAGGAATATGTAGAGAATTATCAGAGGCATGTTCAGGCTTAAAATGAAATTTATTGGAGAAGACGAATATAATAAAACTTGCTCACCAACGCAAAGGGACAGCCAGCCAAAAAGTTGCTTTTGTGTTTTGCCATTTTGGGAAAGTTTTCGCCAAACTTTCTTAGGACTACAGACAAGGCCAAACGAATTTTCCAATACACCATATAGGCTAATGATAAGTGTACATGGGCCACTTACACATATCTCAGATAAGGATGATATCCTAGTAACTAATGAAGACACAACAAGTGTTCATAAAAATCTGGATAGACGAGTGTCATCACGCGAACTCTGATGTGCCCACACGACATGCCTGAAAGCAAACTTAACTGAGTGTGGTCACATCAACACACAGAGTCATGACATTAAAATAAAACATAAATGATTGTGCATGAAATAATATTAAGTCCCCACATCAAAACTAGTATTACCACACTAAAGTCATAAATTGACAAAATACTTACATATTTATTTTATGTATACTTTTGAAAACATTATGTTAAAAGACAAGAAAGTTTCCTTTTTATGAAGATGAAAATTACATGGGAAAATTTATGTCTATTGTTTTGTTTTAATTAAGGATATATTAATGTTTGGCATATACATTGAACTAACTACAAGAAAAATGAAAAGGTACTATATTTAAGACAATATTGCTTTTGCATCAAAATTTGGAATTTTCAAAAGACAATATCTCTTCACTATTTTGTATATTTTGCCACCTTCTTTGAATTTTGAGACAGGCAGGCTAGATTGTTAAAAGATTAATGGTTTGAGTCCAACCATGAATGAACTTTGCCACTACTGCATACCATTTAGTTAAATTTTAACCTTAAATTTTTGGATTTAACATATACAATTTAATTACTTTTAAAGAGTTTGAAAATTCAAAAAATGAGCAAACGTTAGTAGTTCCTGCTCATTAATTTGCTGCAACAATTGCTGATTTCTTTTAGGTTATGACAGTGCTCGATTAGATAAGTAGAATAATAAAATATTGAAAGCGTGTTGACACATTGCACAAATTGAGGAAGCTAGCATGCAATTGCTATACATTTTCTCAAAGATAGAATGTTTGATATACATCTACAATAAAACCTCTTTATAGTTATAATAATCGGACCAACTAATTTTATTACTATAAGAAGTTTATAACTTAACAGAGGTATAGTACCAAAAATTATTGTTTTGATTTCTTATTTTGTAATTTATGTTTTAGTTATAAAGTATTGGGATTTTAATCATGTTTTAGTAGTATTAGGATTTCAATTCAACGCTTTAATTACCTACTTTTAAAACAGATAGAAGATCATGTCTTAGAACTAGTAAAGATAAGTGTCTTTGATGGAATTGTATATGTAGTTGCTCCATGTGGTCAATTGATGTGAAGCCACTGATAATTGCCAATTGTTTTAAGTACTACAAAATTAGGACACACGATATTGATGAATTGCAAGTAACAAATGAAGTGGATAAGAAGAATCAAATAATCGCTATAGAATTGAGTGATCAGATTCGATAACTTCATTGCACTAACAAATGGATATTAATGTATTCCTCAATCATGCATCTAAATTAGCAATAAGTCATGTGTGCTTTAATTGAAGAATAAACCATAGTTACAATTAGACAAGAAGAGAAATGAAATAATCTTGAAGATGATAATATGAAAATAGCAAAAGTTTCATGTCATGAAGCTCTAAACATATTTGAGAAGTTAGAAATATTTTCGCTTCAAGAAGAAGATGTTTATGCTTTCAAATTATTACGTATCTGCAAGTTAAAACATGTGGTAACAACTTTAAAACATAAATCATTGTCCCAAACAACTGTAGATAAATATTTTATTTTATCTTAAACATTTTATGTAACATAACATATTTTTTTTTTTTTTTTTGTAATATACATATAATTATTATTATGTGGAGGCAATATTCTTAAGACGGGAATTAGAAAAATTATAACTTATTACTATTTGGATTCATGCATTTTGGACATGGAAATGATGTAAAAATGATGGATATAAGGTAGAACACAAACATAACAACAGTAACATGTTTTTAAAGAAAAAGAATAGTATATTACCTACTCCTCTACTAGTCAATGTTTAGATCTTCTTTCTTGGAGCCTTTATTCTACAAAAAAGATTGAATAAACTCAAAATGTGATCCCCACAAGCCAAGAAAGAGATAACCGATTATGAGTGAGAGAGTTTTTGAGTGAATGGTCCTTTTTTATGATGAAAAATTATATAAGATTTTATTTATATACCATAGGCACAAAGTGCAATTTTAAATTGTTTTGGGAAGGCCTCCAATTTAAAATCGCAAACAATTTAAAATTAACTTGAGAATAAACATTTATGTCAAGTCCTTGATTTTATGGTTAATTCATAATTAGTCCAAATTTTAATTCTATTAAATATTCTAACCCTTTATAATAAAACCAATGCACTTTTGCCCCTATTATTGAATCCAATTCAATACTAATATTTAATAAATCTTTATTATTCTTAGTTAGTGCTAACAATTTATGGATAATCATTTCTCACTAATACATTGATTCGAATGTAACCGTTTATATCCGAACATCATTAATCTGATTAATGATATGTATTACTCTCTCTCATTGAGTTTGGTTTTATGTGTAACCATTTTGATTCACTATGATCTAGCCATGGGCCCAATATTGGATTCCAATATGTTTTGTTATAATTCCTTATAATCAAAATTCCCACAGATTGTGGTAGACATCTAGCAATATTCCATAACCCCTAAACCACAATAAATTATAAACTTTAATGAACATTTTCTAATCGTATGTACCATGCAGTGAAATCTTTTTGTCATCTAATCCCGATTAAGAATGATTTATGGTATATCAAAACCCTTAACTTAATCTTTAATCGAATTGTCTATCGATACAATGGAATTCATCAACATGAAACTATTTTTCATTTGACAGTCATTATACTCTGGCATGATATTTCCTTTTTTCAATGTTAACATTCGTCTGGGAACTCAAGACTGGACTACTTCGAGTTAACAGATCCCATCTTGACCACCACCTATCCTCGCACATGAATAACATATGACCAAACCGGCTTGTTACATAAGACATGACTAGTCTCGTGCTTGTATACCATTGAACCATATGCATCTTATGTCGAATCCAACCGTGATATCTCAGGTCTGAGGATCAGTGGTACATTAATACAATCCTACGATGTATCACTAACCACATTCTAAATATCTATGTGATTTATCGTAATCGGTCATATTCGATAAACAGTTCACTAACCGTTTATCCATGCTAATGCCCTAGTGACATGACTTATAATCACCCATACTAATACCATCACATGATATTCAATGGAGATATTTAGCATATCTACTATGCAATGTTATTGCCCAATTAATATTACTCACGTGCGGAAGGCTTTGATGATTTGATCTTTTGAAGATTTGCATCATCCGAACACTTTACATGCAACATGTGAAATAATATCACTTTCTTTTATTCATAATATGTTTACAAGATATAATGTTCTGAAACTGATGATATGATTGGTTCCTAAGGCATACACTAACAATTATCATGTGAAGCTTATTCTTATTTTAACTATCCCTAGTTAGGATTAGAATTTTTTATGACTACGTCGAAATTATTCTTATATAAAGTATCACTATAGAGAGGTTACAACGATCATCATCGCCATTCTAAAAGTGATCAAGAGCACATTCTTCTGGGTAAAACTGAATTGCACTGATTTCTCTGTTATGAATAATGCGCATATTTGGCATATAATTAGCTCCTAGCATAGAAATTAATGGATCAGGCAATATTGCTACGCAGAAAAATCCTTCATTATATTGAATGTGCACGAACCTGCTTTGTACTTCGTAGTCTGCTCCTCGGAAATGGAAGGTCAATGATAGAAAAACTCTAAAATCTTGTCTGTGCATATAACAAAGATTGAAATGAAAGCCAGTGGTAGGTAATCTCACAAGAAAAGGATCATAGTATCGACTAAATGCTGCTGTCACCAATTCAAAAATATTGAGCCCAGTCGTGGCACTTGTGGTGAGCGTGGTAAATGGGGCTGCTGAATCTATGAAGAACCCGTTACCAAGTCTAGCGTCGAAGGAACCTGATGGTAAACGTAAGCGATAATTTCCAACACTTATATCTATAAGATCAAGAAAATAAGCACTTCTGTCTACAAAAGTTAAATAATGCGTTGTTGGAATGTTTCCTTCAAGTAATTGAACATCTTCTCCAAACCTGAGTATATGAGAATGAACATCGAATGGATAAAATTGATCATAGGGAACAATACAATAAGAGAAAACATCACCAATGGTTTCATGCAATTGGCTCACTAGTGAAGTAGGACCTGTGTCTAATCCCAAGATTCCAGAAATCTTATTATCTGGTTGATCACTGAAGTAGAAATATCCATTGTCATACGAGCAGCCGAAGAGAACAGTTAATTCTACGTAACCGCCTTCGGTATTCATGAAATGAAACGTTTCCATGGAGAAATTACCTTTTGTTGGCCCAGACACACTTGGAGCACAACCATAAGTTAAAGAGTAGAAGCAATCGCCATTAACACATTGGAAAGGGCTCTGTGGTTCATTGTAGTTACAAAGAGGGTGATCACAATTAACTTTTTGGTAAGAAGGGGAAGCTTGAGAATCGTATATGGGACAACTTTGATAGAAACAACTTATGCAAGGTTCACATTGTGTCCAAGTTAAGTGACTACCGGTGTCCACCATTAAATACACAAAATGAATTGGGTGTCCAATCATCATCAACGCAATATAGAAGTAATATTGACGGTCTAGAGCAGTCATATGCTTGTCATCACCGAATGTTGCATTTTGAGTAAAACGTAATTTCGTTAGCTTAGCTTTGGCCAGGGTGATATTAACCCTTTTTTCAACTCTTTCGTGGTGAGTAAGGTTAGGTTGATATAAAGGGGACTCACGAGAGTCTATTGGGATGAGCTTAATGCTGACTCCTTTTGATTTTGAAGCTCCGAAACGAAGTCTAGAAAATATAATTAGACTAAGAAGTACTACAACCATTCGTAAGTACTGAGTTGCTTCCATTTCGGATGCGTAATGAATTAATAGTCCCATCCAAGTACTTATAGCATTGGTCACAACAAACTTAAAAAAATAATTATAATAATCCTTCTAATTAATTCCATCTAATTAGTATAAAACAGAAATTAACTAATAAATGATATAGAATAAGCTAATGTTAGAATTTTGCTTAAAAAAAAAAAAGAGTTAAAAATTGATGTTAAACACTGATACAGCCCATGTTAACAAATGATGTCTAAAAATGTTATGATGCCAACAATTTCTACTTTAAAGATAAAGGGCGTGAAGCTCTAATGAAATTGATTATATATATATATTCATCATCATCATCTGACAATTGGCATGCTAGTGAATTTGGATGCAAGTCTAATCCCAAGATCCCAGAAATCCTATTATCTTCATCATCACCAAAATCGAAATCTACGTTATCATATTGGAGCTAGCAGCCAAAGAGAACAATAAATTCTTCTGTATCAACATTGTGGTTCACTAAAAAATGAAATGATTCCAAAGATGCATAACCTCTTGTCGGGCCACTGCTTTGTGCACCGGAACCATAGCGATGACTGTAGACGCAATCCCCATTAACACATCGGAAAAGGCTGCCTTCTTCATTATAGTTACAAAGACAGTGATTACAAGAAATTTTTCGGTAAGTAGAGGAAGCTCGCAGATCGTAAATGGCATAAGTTTGGTGGAAACAATTTCTGCAAGGTGTACACTACGTCTAAGCTAGCGCACTACCAATATCCACCATTAAATACACAACTTGAATTTGGATTCCAATTAACATTTGCGCAATATAGAACAAACCTTGACGGTCTAGAGCTAAAAAATGCTTGTCATCATCGAATGTCGAATTTTGAGCAGAACGCAATTCTGTCAGTTTAGCTTTAGCCAAGGTAACATTAGCCGTTCTTTAAGCTTTTTCGCGGTGAATAAGGTTACGTTGATACAGGGGCGGAGGGAGGGGGTGCAAAGGAGGGTCAAATGACCCTCTTTGACTTTGAAAAATTATATATATATATATAAGAAAACTCATGTAATCATAATGGTGAGATCAAACTAATTTATTATTATTAGGAGTTTATAACTTGATAGAGAGGTAGTTGTGAAAATACAGTTTTGATTTCTTATTTTATAATTCAAGTTTTAATAGTATGTATTAGGATTTTAATCCATTGTTTTAGTAGCTACAATTAGACAATGAGAGAAAAAAAAAAAATCCTAAGAATAATGGTATGGAAATATAAAATTTTGCATATTAAGAAGCTTTAAACATGTTTAAGAAACTAAATATATTTTGGCTTCAATAAAAAAGTGTACATGCTAGCAAGTTAATATGTATCTGCAAGTTAAAAGATATGGTAATAACTCTAAAGTATAAATTATTATACCAAAGAACTTTAAATAAATATTTTATTTTATTTTAAACTTTTAATGTAACATGTATATATTTTTTACAATATAAATATAATTATTATTATGTGGAGATAATTTTCTTAAGACATGAATTAGAAAAATTATAACTTATTACAATATGAAATTTATTCTTATTTATAACTATCTCAAGTTGAGATTTGAATTTTTTATTATTATATAGAAGTTATTGCTATATAGATTATCAATATAGAGATATTTTACTCTCTCTCTCTCTCTCTCTCTCTATATATATATATATATATATAACTTTTAAATTAATCAAATACATCAAATTAAATTCTCAGTTTTTACAAATAAATCTCACAAATACATTTAATGAAATATATATATATTATTTAATTATACAAAGAACAAAGTGAAGAAAGTTTGTATATCTTTTCATATATTTTATAAAATAAATATTATTGTACAAAGAATAAAGTGAAGAAAGTTTGTATACCTTTTCATATATTTTATAAAATAAATACTATTTCTAAAATTTAATTGTCAACTGTTGCAACCCACTGCCACGGCTCCCCACTTAAATTGCGGATGCTCAAAAAGAGAATCAAACTTGTGGTATTTACACTATCCCAAACTTGTTCTAACCATTTAGATTATCCATAGATGAGTCATATCAAAATATTGAAGTTAGGAAAAAAAATATAAATATAAAAAATGTGTATTTTGATGCATTATTTTAAGGGGTCGAAACAAAAAAATAAAATTATAATATTTTACAATAAAAGCTAGATAAACCTTTGAATATTTTATTAGTAGAAATTTTATTATAATTTAATTTGGCAGTATTGTTATTTGTGTTGACTTAATAACTTGTTCATTAGTAAATTTTTTTGATTTTGTTTTACACTTATTAAAGTATTATAAATTTATTTCATATCGTCAAACACAATCATAAATATATTAATTATAAATAAGTATTCATATTTTTATATAACTTATACCAAGTTTACTATTTATTATAAGTTTATTTACAATTATATTATTAAGTTTACTTAACATCTTGGCACCATGTAATCAGATTTTGGCTATGTCCCCGGGTTTATACAAGGGGGACTTCCGAGAGTCTATTGGAATAAGCTTAATGCTGCTCCTTTTGATTTTGTTGCAGCAAAACTATGTCTAGAAAATATGACTAGACTTTACAATACAACAGCGATTCTAAAGAACCCCACCCTTATTTTCCGAGGTAAGGATTTGAGTGCCCAACTCAAGTACTTATAATAATGGTCGCAACAACCTTAACTATTATTTGTTAGGAAAGAAAACTCATTTAATTAACACAAATTAGTAAAAAGATGTCAGTTTTTAAGTATTATTTTTTTAATTAATAAATATCCAATCTAGTTGATGTTAAATGTTTTCTAAACAGAAATATCACTTAAATTTATGTTAAATATTGATACAACATATGTTAACGAATGATGTCTAAAAATGTTTTAAAAAAAAAAAAAAATTACTTTAAAGACAAGGGTGTAAAGCTAGGCGTGGTGAAAATTTATAATTTATTATATAATATTCAAGACTTTTGATTCTATTAAATAATTTTAATTTTCTAATTTCTGAATATTTTTACTTCAGAGTTTATTTTTTACCGTTTTTTCTGTTGTTTTCATTCTCATCTTCCTTTGCTTTCTAAAATCTTAAAAAAATAAAAATAAAAAAAATAACTTTGTTTCCTTTTTACAAAAGATTGCAGTAAATTCATATTATAATATAAATTTTCAAAATGAATATTGTCTTCCTTTTTCTTTCTTTCTATACATTTTCAAAGACAAAACTCATTTTATTAAATATGTATTTTATTATTAATTCCACCCTTGTTTAAAAATGATGTTTTCATTCAAATTAAAAGTTAAAAATTTCTTATTCAAAAAAATATATATTTAATTCTAATAAATAACGTCTTTGCCACATGAATCACAATGTTTTCCTTGCCTGATAGTGTTTTATAAACTAGAAGACATATTTTAAAAGACAAGAAATTTTCTTTCTCTAAGATAAATATTTACATGGGAAAAGTTTTTGCTTTTTTTTTTTTTTTTGATCGTAATTAAGGATTAATGTTTGGTATCTTACATTGAATCAACCTCGGAAAACCTTTTCAAGCTGTTTTATTTAATACATAAAAAATCATAATTGGGGAATTTCAAAAGACAAATACAGCATCAAAATCTTATTGGGAAGCATTTATCTTGCTATTATTAACTATATATATTTGGTTGTTTTGTTGATGCTATGCTCATTGTATATTTTGAAATTGGAGCGACGCAACTGGTTATCGAAAGATTAATTCACTTGTGATCACCCTAATTTGGATTCCTTTTAGCTTGTAAATGCAAGCTAAACTAGTTAAGCTAGGATCTGTTAGTCTCTTTCAAAATAAAATTTACATTTACAATTACAATTACAAAACTCATTAGATTTATTCCTGTTTTCAGTTCTCTCTTTCAAAATAAAATATACATTTTGAATTACAAAACTTGTAGGATATTTATTTTTGTCAAACTTATTAATTGTGTTATGTGTGCACACTAGCTGTCAATTTTTTCATTTGATTTGTTCCATCTGTTCTGTGCAATCAGTTCTTAGTGCACATAGTTTGCCAGACATGTTTATTGGTTTGTTTCGTTTCGAATGTGTGTGTGCACAACAGTCTATGCTTACACTCTTGCTTCATACATTTTGCAACCCAACACGAGTTGCATGTCTGATAAAGAGAAAAAAAATTTGTTTATCTTTGTCTCTTGATATTTAGGAACTTTTACATGTGTCATAAAATCCTTAAGTGGTCCTAGGGAATAAAGTTATCTTTTCCAATTTGTTTTTTGCTCCAAACCAAAAGAAGTAATACTTTCCTTATTTGGACAAACATGGGTTAGCCCCATGTTGGCTGACGTGACACTATATTGTTGAGCAAGAAATCCTTCATTATATAATACTCCTTCTTGCGTAAATGGATCTAACCTTTTGATCTTTTATTTCATTATACTCTGAATTTTCTTAGAGTATTCTTTTTCTTAAGGTTCAAGGTTCATTCTCCATTTTGTGCCAAAACTTCACCATATCAAACATAGACTTGATGGCTCTTGGAACGTGGTTCCTTTGCTGATGCTGGTGCGTGGCATCGATGCTTGACGCTTGGTGGTTTACAAGCTATTTTCTGGTGTTTTCCTGGCAAGAAGAAGCTTTAAGGAGTTGCTACACGTTAAGGATTCAAAGTGTGGTGCTAAGTGTAAAGTTGAACAGTGAGTTCTTTTTACTGTAACTTAGATTAGCTTTAACCTATATCTTGTAATGTATTTTTAACTTAGTGGATTGCTTCGATCTGGACAAGGTCCCATGGGTGTAGGCTAAAAGTGGATTTAGTCAAACCATGTATATGGCTGTGTTCTTTACTTTCTGCACCTGTGTTTGATTTGGCTAAAATCTAGAAGTCTTTTAATACACTTGGTAATTTTCTACTGCACTTTAAAAAATGGGTAATTCAAAACCAAAGTGGTTTTAACCAATTACCAACAAGTGGTATCAAAGCAAATTCTGATAAGTTACTTCAGTAG